GAATTGCAATTGACTTAGATGCCGATGCAACTCTGCTCTCGAAAAACGATCGATCTTTCGCCATCTGCCATATTATTTTTTCCTCTGTCTCTCTCTCTCTCTCTCGCTTTTTTTTTTTCTTCCGGTTCCTGTGCGTCATTATATATAAAATATAATATTACATATTATATAATCACATTAATTGTGATAAACAGAAAATAATTCTTCTATAATTAGAAAACAATTTTAGTAGTAGCATTAGTAATAATTTAGTAGCATCAGTATGCTTGGGCTTAAGGAATCACGTTTTGATGTACATTACACTGTATCATTCTCCCTGATATTATTACATGGACTGATCACAGTCGATTGGTGTCCTGAACCACCGGAAGTAAACGGTAGTATCGTGACAACTAACGGAACAAAAGTCAACTCCACTGCCACATATTCCTGCCAAAATGGATTTATTTTGTTCGGAGATAATGTGAGTAATTTTCAGTTTATGACTTCTTTATTTAATTACTCCGTTGAATTGAATAGAGATGAAACTCCGTTTTTTTAATATGTATGTACTTTTAAAAAGATAATATTTTATTATTTTATAATTAATTATAATGACTCTTTAATTAAGGTGCTCACATGCAATGTCGGTGGCGAATGGATCGGCAAAACCCCACAATGCCGATTCGTCGATTGCGGGGCACCAGCCCAAATTGAATTTGGATCTGTCGTTCTAATTAACGGCACAACTTCGGTAGGCAGTTTAGCTATTTATTCGTGCCTACGAGATTATTTGCTGATAGGTGAGACAGAACAAGAGTGCACCAGAGAGGGCAAATGGAGTCACGATACACCATCATGCGAATGTAAGGATTACTTATTGTATAAATGTTACGTAGAACTAAATATGTTACGCAGAACTTGATTTATTGAAAAAAATTAAACCTTTTATTTATCTTTATTGAAAAAAATTAAACCTTATTATGCAAAACTTGCGTTACGTTTTTATGAAAATTTTATATGACAATTAATTTGAAGATGTATGAGGAGACTGAAGCATATTTTTGACGATTTTAACATTAGAATTTTTCATATTAATTATTCCATTAATTATTCCAATTGATCAAAGTAATAGAGAAAATCTTCCGTAATATTATTATATTAAAAATGATTCTTTATACTGCCTTTTTATAATAATTTCTGTAATTTTTTTGAAATACGAACATGTTGCACTATGATCAGTTGGTTTCGATAATATAGAATAAATTGACGGTGATTATATCACGGCATAACTATATAGCAAATTCTATATTAAATCAATGAAAACATAGTAGCAACAAAAAATAATTGTTTTCGTATCATTTTTAATAACCGTCAATAACTATACTTATTAATCACAATTAATTTAAATGCCCCAACATTTGCTACATGTGTTTAATTGACATAAAAATTAAGAAAAAGGAATATTTCTATGTCTTGTAAGAAAAATTTTTTACAGTATCTCTTTCATCATTTTATTCACATTAAAGAATATGGAATATACATAAGTGGAATACTTATTCCTTGTTTCAATGAAGTCCGAATTTCTCTAACTTTCTTCCCATGCCGAAAGCAACATTTTATCTATTTGTTAATTAACTTTAAAATTCTAAGCCATTCTATATGAAAAAAATATAATTCTATATTTAATTATAATTCTATGCAACAATTAGTCTCTATATCATAAAGAAAAAAAAGAGAGAGAGAGAGAGAGAGAGAGAGAGAGAAGAAA